GCCCAAACTCTCTCTCTTTCTCATTCCATCCACAAACCATCACAAACCATCCATGAAACAAAAAAAAGTAAGGGATTGCAAGGTATGGGGAAAACCGATCACTGCTCTTGTTCCACAAACCATCACAAACCATCCATGAAACAAAAAAAAGTAAGGGATTGCAAGGTATGGGGAAAACCAATCACTGCTCTTGTTGATACAGGATCGTCTGCGGTGGCGATATCTTTGGAAACCGTCCGAAAAACTGGACGATTGAATTCGATCCTTCCCTTACCTGGAAGGGACAACTACGTCTCTGCAGACGAAGAAAAGGTGAACATAGTCGGGATTATTGAAAACGTAGTCGTCAAGGTAGGAGGAGTACATGTCCTAGTTAACGCCTTAGTGATCGATGTACAGTCATACTCGGTGCTGTTTGGATTGCCCTGGGCTATGGATGTGGGTGCACGGATACATTTCAACTCCAAGCAGCTCGTCCTTACACATACTAGAGGAAAGCCTCAAACAGTTTCGTTGCGAGTCTTCACTCGATCACCAAGGAAGACCCCGACCTCCCCCGGATAGGCATGATACAAGTCCCGAGCCTAGAAGAGTCGGCTGAAAGTAGTGACGAGGACCGACACCTGTCCGACGATGACGAATATGATGAGCGAGATTACGACGAACTACTAGGTTATATGCCTACAGAAAAGGAATGGAGTCGGCTAGTCGAACTGTTCAGTCACGAAACTAAAGAAGAACTCCGAATAAATCCGACTACTACTAGGACATTTGATCTGGACACAGAAGATAGCCAGACAGGCCCTGCGTCGCCTTTATCCCTGTGTGCACTAAGAAAAGCTCAAATTTCAGTAACATCTTTCCTAGTAGAACCTATCTTGCAAGTTTCGGATATGGCTGACCTCTTGGAACCCCCTCGAACCTTGTACGAGGGCGTGCTTTCCTTACGAGAAAGGTATCAACAAATGAATCAGTACTTGGATTTTTTTGTCTCCTCGCCCAGGCCACTGCTCACACAAAATGCTATGATGGCATTAATTAGGCAGGAGGTCGAAGCTCCGATCAATGATGTTCCCAATCTAATGCAGGAAATGACTGAGTTGACTAGCGATGCCGAAATTAAGGAAACCGAAATGATTGACCCGGCCGAATCACAAATGCTTGCTACGGTTTTTCGGTCCGCACCAGCAGCTCCATGTTCTCCATCTCAGAGGGGAGGCAACTGATCGAACTAGGGCAGACCGACGTACGACTGAATCTTTTCGAACGATCAACGATCACCTTACCTGCTCACGTTCCCGTGAAATTCGCCAGTCGTTGATTGATGTATTGCATGGATATGTTGAGGTTTTGAGTGTGCATAATTGTGATATTGGGTTGTCAAGTGTGATTGAACATGTGATCCTCACAAGGGATCATCCACCAATTAGTTGTGCCCCCTATCGATACTCTCTGGCGCAACGACGAGCTGCGTTTGAGAGGGTGAAGGAGTTCGAAGCTAATGGGTGGATCGAACCCGCCATCGGACCGTGGTCCTTCCCTGTGGTGATTGTACCGAAAAAGGCGGGAGGTATTCGTATATGTATTGATTATCGGAAGTTGAATGATATCACGATTAAAGACGTGTACCCCCTCCCCCGGATTGATGAGTTGTTGGATGCTATTGGTGGTGCTCGATTTTTCAGTAAGTTTGATGTTCGTCATGGATTCCACCATCTCCTAGTTCGAAAGGAAGATCGCCCGAAGACGGCCTTCGTTCTTTTCGAAGGGACTTGGCAATGGGTTCGATGCCCGATGGGAATCTGCAACGCCCCAGCCACGTTTCAGCACGCGATGAATATGACTTTTCATAACTTTGTGCGAAAAACGAGGTTGGCGCAGAGCATTATTAATTATTGTATGATTGTATACATGGATGATATCCTTGTGTATTCGAGTTCCTACGAAGGGCACGCGCAACATATTGAATGGACGTTGCACGCACTGAAGGATGGTGGATTCAAGGTGGCCCTCGAGAAATGCCATTTTTTTCTCACAAAGATTTCCTTTCTCGGCCACGTGGTTACGGACAAGGGGTTGCAACCGGAACCGTAGAACGTAGCCGTGGTGAAAGACGCGCCGGTGCCGACGTCAGTCACACAAGTACGCGCGTTCTTGGGACTAGCCTCGTACTATCGGAGGTTTATCAAGGGATTTGCAGCAATCGCGGGACCACCCGCGAACTTGCTGAAAAAAGAACAGTCGTTGATTTGGACCCCGCAATGCGATCAAGACTTTCGAGAACTTAAGGCGGCTCTGGTCTCAGCTCCGGTCCTTATAAGACCGGACCCGGAAAAAAACTTTTGTTCTCATCACCGATTGGAACCCCGAGGCGATCTCAGCGATTTTGGCCCAGGTGGGACCTGATGGCTTGGAACACGTGGTGGAATATACGTCTAAATCAGTACCTTCCTGCAAGAGGAATTACTCCTCTCCAACAGGGGAATGCTACGCGGCCTTGTGGGGAATCAGTCAGTTCCGGGCTTATTTATATGGTCGGAAGTTCACTTTGGTGACTGATCATGAACCACCGTTGGCCCTGAAGAAGTCCAAGGACTACTCGGGTATGATTGGACGATGGGCTACCACGTTGCAGAGCATGGAATTTGACGTTCGTCATCGGAAGCACAGGAAACACGGCAATGCAGACCGGCTGACACGGTTGCATCGACCCGGCATGGTACCCAAGAATGAGGAAGTGACGTCGTGGCACAATCCGAAGCCAAAGAATGAGCCCCAGTACGGTGAGGTGGAGATCCTTCTGAAGGATTAAGTAGACACGAGCCCCCTCTCTCTCTTCTCTCTCCCCCTCTCTCTTCTTTCCTCAAACCATGATGACCTTTTCTTCTTCTGCTCCCAACCCCATCGATTCCCCTCCTTCTCCGCATTTTCAATTTTTCGTCAATCTTCCGGACAAGTTTTGTTATTTTTGCATGTGTATTTCACAGGTTTATGGAGTAGACTGCTATCCCTTTGAATCGGGGTTCACTGACTGGGTGGACTGCGCCACGTGTGTTAATTCCGCACATGGCGCATGCATTCGATATCGAACGAGTAGTAAGGCGTGGAAATGCCCTCTGTGTCGAACGGATAAGCTCCCCACAAAAGTTCGATTCGAGGCCGCCAGAACTGACGGCCCTGAATACGACGAAAAATACCGAAGGGCTGAAGTATGGACGGATAAAATATTATTGGCTAAATTAGCGAGCAGACCACTGGACCATCTCACTAAGCATGACAGGCGTCGGATCAACAGTCA